GAAAACAAAGCAGCAGCTTAGGAGAATCACCACTCCCAAATGCTTAGATTTGGTTATTTTTCCAATCGCGTCTAATGAAGTTTGACACAGTACCAATAAAGGTAGGATAGGAAAACTCGTGGTACCTGAATTACAGCACAAGTTCAACTCAAAGCCTTTTTACCAGAAAGGAGTATATGTTTTGTATTGCCTTTGTTACTTATTTAACGTTACCTTTTTCCCAATGCATAACAGGAAGATTTCAAGCAACAAAATCTTTTCACTTCACAAAATAAACGTTGCTCTAGGGAAACATAGGTAAGGTTTCCCAACTTCTGAATTACTAACTCTTAATCTTACTCAAGTAACTTTGTTTATGTTCAAGAAAATACAGCAATTTTAGGAGGTACTGATGTATTACCTAAAACTACAACCTAGGACAAAGAGAATATGATAAGGGGTAGCAGTACGTGCACTCTGCAGAGGCAAAAGTCCGCTCGTTTTCTCTACCTAAAAAAGTCCTATCATGGAAACCACAGTAACAACTGTAGAACACTTTCAGAGCCCAAGTACATCATGATATCTCCCAGTAGAGTTAAGGACTTCTATATGTTTCAGTTATAACATTTGTGATGTACTGGGGGGGAGGGGAGAAGAGGGAAGAGCTATTACAACACTAGGCTAGAACATGAAAAGTAAAGAAGGAAGTACTTAAACTACTCACAAGCTTCTAGTAGGAACAAGATTAGTAGTACATGCTACTCTCCGAGCCAATTCAAATGCAAATTTCATCCTTTCTCTCAAACAATGATAAACTCCCTCGGAGTTAATAGTTTCCTTCTAAGACTCATCTCCCTTTTCAACTTAGTGGTATGTTTTCAAGAAAAGAAAGAAGCACATGGTGAGTCTACAGCAAGACCTTTTAAATTCTGTCATAAAAGAAGTTGTATAAACTACATTTCCTTTACTAATCCAGTGAACATTTGTCATACTCTAACACATTTATGCTGTGTCCACGCTATCACATTTAGGCTTCTAACTTACCATGATTTAAAAAGAAAAAAAAGAAAGAAATCCTTTAGCTGTACTAAACCATTTTAGCTTTTTCCTTGAACACACAGCAAGAATTTATGCTACACTCACAAAAAGATGAAAGATGAGGTCCTTGGAGAGAAAGGCCTTTTGGCACACTACATGGCAAAGCTACAGCTTTGACACACTTTTATAAAGTCTGCTTTGGCGAGAACACAAAAACCCCATACAAAAGCATGCTATGTCCTCCCAGATAGGGGTGGAGGGGGAGTGCCTTACTCTTATGAGCATTTACTTTCAAATTTTCATACTTTAGAGACTATTCTGATCTGTTACTTTAGACTAACAACTTCTTTTTCTGCACCAATAGTTTGACAGGTATGTTCCAATTCTCCTCAAAACCCATTCTAACAAGAGAGAACCTTTGGCTCCAGCAAAATTCTCAAATTTGTCACACATTTTTGATGAATTATGTGCACCAGTTTTAAGATCATAAAATGCTTTGAAAAATGAAGGCAAGTGGTTAGTATAGTTTTGGTTTCTTTAGATAGGTATTTAAACCAAAACTGCTAATCACTTCTTTCTATCTGTGCATCTCAGAAGTTTTGGTGGAAAAAATAAATGTTATAGCTGAGGTTCAACAATAACAAATGCAGTTTGAGGGTAACACAGTCATAAGCACACACTATATCAAAAGTGTAGAATGCTACTGAACTTCTAGAAGTCCAGCAGCAATGACTTATAACAGAAACAATTAAAGTTCCTTGTAGTTTACCTCGATGTCTGTGAATTTTTAATACTACAAGATGTCAAGACAAAAACATAAATCAGAAGTAAGGACTTCATAAACTCACGGAATGCATTCTTCCTTCCTTTACATGAGATTTAAAAATGGAAAAAGAAAATCAGTTAAATAATGGTATTCCATATAAAGCATCTATTTTGCTCTTAAATCTTGCACTGAATAAAATAATTCCAAAGAATAAGAGAATACCAAAGGTACAGGTCCCATCATGAAAACTTACTAAAAATTAAGACTCAAATAAGTAAGAAAACACTATACGTATCCAAACAAGATCATCTACAAATGCATAAATAAAATCACCAGCATAACTTTAAGATATAATTTAATTAGGAAATCTGTAATATACTGAAGACTTCATGCACCAGAAATACACAAGTTACCAATGCTGGACACAGATATTTAATTTCTGAACAATTCAGAGGGGAAAAGGCCAGAGAGCCTAGAGCTGAACTCATCCAGCAATCGTTCCTTTCTCAATTCACACATTTCATTCTGATTTGGCAGAGCTCTGTCTTGACTCAAAGAAAACAATTTACAATTTATCAGCTTTCGTGAGCAGAAAGCACCTCCTGGGTGTTCTAGAGCTTACATTTCTATAAATCAAATCATACGACAATTTAGGCTGGAAGGGACCTCAGGTCTCAAAGTCCAACCTTTTGCACAAAGCAGGGTCAGGTGTGAGGTCAGGTTTGGGCTGTCATGCAGTCTTTAAAATCGCAAAGGATAGAGACTGCACAACCCATATCAATGTTCAAGACTCGCTGCCCACATGGTGAACAGGTTGCTCCTGATATCCAGTTAGATCATCTTGTTTCCATCTATGTCACTACCTCTTGTCCTCCTGCAGTGCACTGGCATGAGAGCCTGTCACCTTGATGAATATCTCACAGGTATGGAAGGCTGCTGCAAAGATCTCCTGAAGTCTTCTCCAAGCCAAACAAATCCAGCACTCTCAACCTCTCCTTGCAAGTGCTCCAGCTCACCTGCCATCTTTGTGGTTCTTCAGGAACACATTCCAGTTTATCAGTATCTTTCCTGGAGCCCAGGACAGCCTTTCTTCTTTTACAGTCACCTGCCTTGGAAACTGATGGAATTTTCTACATGGTAGACAATGCATAATGCTCTCATCCATTTGGAAAGGTTTTAACTAAGTAAACATTTAATGTAAGATTATTAAGTATTATACAAACAATGAAGCTATCTGAATTTACAATTGTCCGCTAGTAGTTAATAATGGGAGTAAATATTTCCCATATCTGCAAGAAGCAAATGAATCATGAAATATATTAAGGCTTTTAATTGCATGTGATATTTAACAGTCACATGAAAAATATCCTTTCCTACGCAAACTTTTTAGCTATTATTAACAAAATGAAGGCATGTTTTTATCATCCCACAAGCCAGACAGTCTCCCACACTTGGACTATTACAGCTTTGGAGCAATCCATTCTCCTCAAAACTATATTAGAAAATTGCTGTAAGAATTAAATGCAATTTAAGTGATCTGTACTATTATGATACTAGACATAAACTTCAAAGTTAGTTGTCTTAGTAAATTTTGGAATTCATCACATAGGAAGAAAGGTTTTTAAACATGCCTGACAATTTGCTCCTTACGCATTTTTTATGTTTTGCCTTTTTTAATAGTAATTGTTCCTCATCATTTAATATACATTCCTCTAACTACAGTAAAATACAGATATATACTCTGGGTTTTCCAGCATAGCTAGCCAATGAAGAAGTGAAGACTGCAGAGGATCAAACAACAGATCCTGATGAGAACAGAAGGACAAAATATTTGGAGATGCATTGATCTAAAACTTCTGTGGATAAAGGGCATCTCTTAAATGTTTTTTTTTAAATGTGGGAAAAAATGCTTAAAGATTATTCAGACAATTAACTTCAGAATATATAAACTATCTTTTACACAGTAAAAGCAACTGGTGCAAAGGTTTTGCACTTACAAGTGAATAGAACAAACTTAAAAACACAACTGAAACTCCTACAGAATCAGTTGGTTTATAGAACAAGACGTATACTAAATTCTCCAATTAAAAACCTGTAAAGTAGTTTCAGTGCTTTTTAACCCACCTTCCCACAGCAGGGAATTAATCCCTCCAGGGGGATGCAAACACACTTCAAAGAGAAGATTATACCCAGACACTAGTACTGTACAATGTAATGTTTACGGTCAAATTTGTTCAGATTTTCTGGCACTAGAATCCAGGTCAGATGTGCAGAAACAAAGATTAGTTATTAAAAGGGCTCCTGCAGTTACATCTAATAGTTGTGATGGTGCACAACAGTAGAACAAGCCAAACTGTATTCCAGTTACAACTACTATGGAAGTTTTGGCACTAAAGGAAAAAGAGTTGCAGCAGCAATTCTACCTTCACAGATTATGAAATCTTTATCTACAGATAGAGAAGGAGATAAATGGCTTTCTAGTCAAAGAAAGATCAAAATTCTTTCTATTATTGGTTTGTTGTACCACACATACAAAACACAATATTCTTTCATTAAAAAAAAAAAAAAAAGGTATATTATTACTTCAATATATGTTTTCCAGTCCTATTCAACATCTCTCCTTTTCATAACAATTTAGAAACTGATATCACAAAACAACATCTTGAAATAAGTTCTGGGTATAGGAATTTCAACTTGATTTTATCAATTTCACCAGTTGCACAAAGAAAAAAGGTATAATAAAACATTCACAAATATACTTACATGTAGGTTTCAGCTGTTACGGGACTTCTCTAGCATAGACATGGAATATTTCTCAGAAATTTTGAGTACAAATATAAAACACTTTTGTGAGCATGTAAGAAACAGTAAATAAATCAAATTTCATAGCAAACTACTCGGAGTACATTTTGGTTTAAACTTAACCATTCCTTATGTGAGCAGCAAATACAAACTGAAAATGCATTTATTTCTTCAACACAGTGAATTAAGAGCTATTTCTATTTTAAAAGACAAGAAATGCTGGAACCTCCACAAACAAGGACAGATTCTCATTATTAGTTCCAACTGTAGAAGATTCTGTTTGCAGAACCAGTAAGAAAGACATCTATAAGTCCAGACCAGCATAATATCGAATATATCTTATTATTTTACACTGCATGGTTCTTAAGGATAGTTTTTGCCATGAAATAGATAAAATTACAGTGTAAAACATTACCTTTCCCAATGCAACTGATGCCTGAATAAGTGACTTCTGCATACACTTCAAAGGTAGTTTCCGGATTTTGTCTGAAAGGAAAAAAAAGGATTTAGCACTGAAAACTTTTGTTTCCAAATACATTTTTAATTACTCAGTCTAAAAGGGTTCCAGGAACGCACACATCACTATGACAATTTGATAAAAATGGCTGTCTTGTTTATCTGATGACCTCAGATTTTTCAGCCTTACAGGTACACAACAGGTGTGTATTGAAGTTGAGATTAGTTGGTAGAAATAGCATCTAAATCAATTCTACTAGGAAAGTACAATTAAATAAAACCCAATAGAAATCAAGCACAGATCCTTTATGTCATTTCAATTATTTTGACTAGATACTACAGTGTCACAGAGATGTCATTCAGAAGCACTGCCAAGAAAAAAAAAAAAGCTTTTCGTAACATTTATTCTAGATCTTGGCCATAATATTAAATTTGATTACATATCCAGCTTGCAAAAGGGAAAAAAGAAAACAACCTCATCTTACCCAGCATCCCAAACCAAAAATATAAACATGTCAAGGAGCTGAGCCCATTCTTCAGGGAATTTATATTATCTTCATCCTACTACAACAACAAAATTGATTTAAAAAAAAACAAACATTTCTACTCACACCACAGACCCAGTTAGCACAACTGAAGTGGCACTAAGCCAAACCCTAAACCTATCTAAATTAATAGAAAGCCTGCCACTGCTTTAGGATAGTATAGGATCCCACTCTACAGTTTTACAGACCACCTCTCAGAAGCAACAATATTGTTCACATTTCAATTAATTTTAATTTATTTTTTCACAAGTTCCCATCTGATTTGCATGTATGAACCATTTTTCAGAAAACTACACTGATAAGTCACAAGAAAACTAAGACAAACAAATAATTGTTACTTCGAATTATGAATAAACCTGCATAATTCTCTTTCTGCAATGCAGAGGCACTGCTGCACATCATCTGTTTCAGATACTGAGATTCTTAGCTACATTCCTACAATCATGGTACGGGATGACTACATGATATGGTATCTACTTAACATCAGAAATGAATTTTCCTTTAAAATATACTGCAGTCTTACCTTATCAAACTTGTTCATATCTATTTTTAACACTAAGCTTTCTCAATTAATTTTATAGATTTTCAAATACCTTTACAACCAATAGATAAAATAACAAACGTCTTTTTAGTATTATGTTAAGGTCTGTGTTTAAACTCGTCAGTGAAAATACTTCTTAATGCAGCTGGCAAGAGCACATACTATATACCAAAACTTTCAGACCAAAAGACTTTAAATTTTATATTTTAATATCCCATGACAAACATCCACTTATTTTTACAAACAGTTAAGTTAAAGTAACTTTGCCAAGTTAGAAACTTGGTATTAAAGACTGCATTCAACAAGCTAACACCTCAGTATGAGAATGAAGTCATTGTTAAATTCTGAATATTTTATAACTTTTCTGTAGAATTAAGGAAACAACTCACTGTGAAACTTCATACACTCTGCAAATACAGCATAAACATGCACCATAATTTATATATTTTGCAGCCCCTTTTTATGATTATTAGCCTCCCCTGCAGACATCTAATACCATGCATGTATTGTACTGAAATCTCATCCCTGACAATGTCCACAGCATTATTAACTTCAAAACTCACACACGGCTTTTTCCCTCCAAATAACTTCCAGGTAATACTTAAAAAGCCACGGTCATTTATCAAGAGAACAACACAGATTAAAAAAAATTAATACATGGAACACATATGTAAATACCCTATTTGTTTGATAACGGAATAATCAGAAAAGTGCAATTCTTTATCAATAGTAATTTAAACTGAGTTCTATGAGAAAAAAATACTGCTGTGATAAACCCTTTTCATAGGAATTATTTCAAATCTGTTTGATGCATAAATAGCTGTAGTAACACAGCAATCCACAGGAAATGCAATCTTAAAATGAAATATTTTTAAACTAAGCCTTACACAACTGTTATAGTCAAAATAATTTCTGTTACCAAAGCGCAAGAGACTTATGAATAATAAAATAAAAATTCTCTCCAAAGTTGGATCCATCTTACATACAGAAAGCCACAATTTGAATTCTGTCAGCACCTCTTATGACACAAAGCATCATCCTACTTTTTAAAAAAAAAAAAAGAGGTATGAGAGGAGTCAACACTATTTGATTATTAACTGTCTTGTAACAAGGTAGTTACTCAAAATACATTAGAACGAGTCCATAGTTGCTAATCCAATTCAGAAATCACATTTCCAACCCTTATTATTTCCATATTCTAACTTTTTCTGCCATGTATTCCACTCCTTAAGTAGATAAACGTTACATCTCAGTACATAGCAAGCTCTATGATAAAAGTCTCAGGCTAACGTTAGGGTTCTCTTCTTTCAGCAGTGAAACACAGTTGCCTCTGAAATGGAGATTGGCACTGACACATTTAAAATGCATTTAACACTGAAGGTTACCAGGAAGTGATAGCAGCCAGGTTAAGCAGATTCCTATTTTTGTCAGCCTCTCTGGAACAAAGCACCTCGCACACACATGCTCCAACGCGAGGCTCAACACAACAGCATAACCCAGTGTTACCTTTATTCACCTGAGGCTATACAGAAGCGCAAAGCTTACAGGATTACTGTCAGCTTCCTGATTTCTTTCACTTCGTTTCGATGCAGCTACTGGTAACTTTCTCTGAGCAATCTTTCATTCTAATGATTCATTACTATAAATCCACCAAAAATATAACTGACACATATGCCTGGGTTTCATGCAGAGCATATCACAGTGATCATGTGCCAGGAAGCTTAATATCCCTCATAACTGTTGATCTACAGCAAGAAGTAAGAAACCTGACTACAGGAATTTTGCTGGGGTTTCAAGATTCTTTGGCATCAATCAAAATGCAAGAGAAGGCAGACACAGCTTGTGGATTTGATACGTATACAGTGGAATCACATTTTAAGTTAGCAGGAGTCTTTCCGTTGGTTTAAAACAAGATCGTAAAAAGTAATTTTGGACCATATTCTTTAAGTGATCAATACAAAGGTGACAGCTATGAGGTCCACAGCTGTAAGCTGCAGACAAAACCTTCACTCTGCTGCCAAAATGGCAACAATTTTAGATTCTACCTGTAAAGAGTTTAATTCATTTTCCTGATCTTGATTTTTTTGTAGCAATAGCTGAGAACCCCTACTCCAACGAAGCGCAAAATTTATCCCCCACCCAGAAAAAGAACCAAGTTTCTTTCTGGAACCAAACATCATTTCAGCACTGTCACTACAAGCACTCAGTACCCATTTGCATTTTCTTAAAACACAGCACACTTAAGTCCATCCAGCCTAGGAGCATGGGAACTCAAAGGTACAACACAAACGATGTGTCCTCCAGTCTTACATTCAGTCTTACATTAAACAACAGAGGTAAAAAGTTAAAACCCTCTGTTACCCTGAAGAACGAGATGTTAAATGCTGCAAAGCAATTGCTCAGCAGCACCCATTGACACTGCTGGAGGAAATGCAGGCTGACTGGATGCCCCTTCTCCAGCACACTGCTCAGCAGTAGTGTTATCACACGTCCACCAGTCTCAGGTGAACAGAATTCACCTGGAACAACATTATGGATGAACTGGGCTCAGTAGTGCTTACTGATATGTCTCAACCCTGTTTATGTTTATGAAAATGAAAAAAGTACTGAGGGCATAGACCTGCAGGCCTAGCACATCAACCAGCTCCAGCACTTCTCGCCTTCTTCCCTCAAGTCCCCTTGGCAGCACAGCTTAGAGGTGCCACAGCCAGGCTGCCCCTTTCCATCAGGCACTAACGCAGGCAATGAGGCTTTGATCACCCTCGACCCTACCGCACCCCCAGAACAGATGTCACCAGTGCCGGCAGTCAGCACGTTCCCGCTCCAGCAGCCCCACTCCTGCTGAAGGCCTGCGCTGACTGACAGACAAACCCACTGCCGCCGCGCCGGCCGGAGGGCCGAAGCCAGCTGGCTGCGGGCAGGAATCGGCACCGCTCCCCTCAGGGCCGCGCAGCTCCCGCCGCTCCGTCGGGGCCTTCCCGCCGCGGCCCGGCGGCCGTGCCCGCTGCCGCCCCTCGTCCTCCTCGCCCCGCGCCCGAGGCCTGCGGCCTGGCCCGGGGTCCCGCCCGCGCGGCCTCCACACGGAGCTGGGAAGAGGGCGGGGAAGTCAGTCCCCTTCTCGCTCCGGAGCCCTCCCGCTTTCCTCAGGGCCTCGCGAGCGGGGCCGGGGGGGCACTCACTTGATCCTGGATCCCATGGTCTCTGGGGGGCCGCATAGGCCCGAGCCAGAGAGAGCCAGGGGGAGGGGGACCGGAGCTCGGCGGGCCGCACTACCTCCGCCACTCGCCCCCTCACTCCATCCCGGGCAGCGCCGCCGTCGCCCGAGCCGAGTCACGGCGCGGGGGCTGCCGGGAGCTGTAGTGCGGCGGGGCCATTGGCCGGGAGCCGGACTGCCGCGCGCCCAGCGGCGGGAGGGCGGTAACGGTCGCCGCGCGCGCCCCACAGCCCCGCCCCCACGGCTCACCTCAGGCGGGCGGGGCGGGGCTCGCGCCGAGCGCGGGATGCACCTGAGGTACGGCGCGAGCCGGGCGGACGCTCGTCTCCTGCCCGCTCCCGCTCCTCGTGTCCCGCCGGTGGGGGCTGGCGCGTCAGCCCCCCCCCGAGAGGGCCCAGGTGTGCCTCGGGCGCGACCCGGAGCCCCGGTGACAGATGCCCTCGGCAGGTGAGGGTTGGGACCGTAAAGCCCTGCGAGGAGGCGAGCCGTCTCCACGGCGCTGTGCGTGGCGATAACGTGCTGCAGCCCACGGGCGGAAAGAAACGTCCGGTGCCTGAGGGCAGCCGAGAAGGCTAAGAGAAAAGACGAGTTGTCCCAACGAGGGACTGTGAGCTGATACTCCTCCAGAATCATGATAGAACATCTTACGCAGCTGCTCACAGAAACAGAAGCTGCTGAAGGGTGGTAGGAAGAACTGCGAGCCCGAGTAAGGTCACACGGGGACTGGAGGCTCCTCAGAGAAGTGGAGGAGAGGTGAAAATCTGCCCGCTGAAAAGAGCACACAAATTAACCAGAAATTAGAGTGAGACAGAAAGCGTGCCTCATGGGAGCTGGCAAACAGGAGCAAACAGGTACCCCCACGTTATTGATCATTTACAGGAGGTTGTGAGAAATCTTTGGGCAATTTCTAGCATAGTTTAACAATTTCTGGCTTTTGGGGTTGGAGGTGATCTACAGCTCGGAATAAAATATTAGAAGTTCACTTCAGAAAGAGCTGTGTGCTGCAGGCTGCTGTGGAGGCCGGCTGCTCAGTGCAGGGCTGGCACTGAGCTGGGCGCAGCTCTGCTGGGTCCTCGTTCAGGCAATGAGCACAAAGTAAGGTAAGCTGTTACACAGGAAATCCTGGAAGATATATTTACAGTTACAAGTTGAAATGTCTGGGGTGACGAGAAAAAGGAGTGCTACCAATCCTCACCTGAGTATAAGAGGTGTAAGAATTGAATTTCATGCACTAGGCTGAGAGGACAGGACAGCAGAGCTGGGGGACGAACTGGTGCGGGCTGATAAGTAACAAATGCAAGGAACGAATGGCTTTTAAAAGTAGCGTTTGGGAATTACCTTTAAACGTTTCTTGGTGAAATGTGTATTTGATAGGTAACTGATTTGTAACGAGACTGTTTTCCTAACCCTGAGAGAAGAAATAATATCAGCAGTCCTCTGTAGGTGCCTTTTCATCAGCAGCTTCTCAGCGTGTGTAATGTGATACGAATGGTAGAATTTTTGCGCAGGAAGTATTACAGTTACACAGATCGTGGAATAGGTGTGGAGAATTGATCTGAAAGCCAATGTGTTTGTACCTTTCTAAAAAAAAGTTGATCTACTTCAAATGAAGTAATATAAAGAAGAGTAATAATAGAGTAATAAAGAGGAATTAAATTAATAAATACAGGTGGAATAAGATAATTAAACACAGCATGTTCCTGTTCAAGTGCAGGAAGTTTTTCTCTCTGCCTAGTATTACCTCATTTGTCCTCCAAACTTTAGAACGTTTTTTTTTTTTTTCCACTTCACCTGGTATGTTTATCTAAATTAGCTTCTCACTTGGTAGCTCAGATTACATTTTCTCTAGTTCTGTTGGTGGCAGTAAGGTCTGCAGCTGGACCAATCGTTTGATGGTAATTGTATGAGAGTTACAAGGCAGTAGCAGTGGCGAAGCCCCAAAGGAAAGAGAGGGTTTAACCACATAAGGGTTATAGCAATGCCTGCTGGCCTATCCATGGAGCAGTGTTTTTGAATGTCTGAGAATGGATGAGCTGATTAACTGTGAATCACCCTCCCAAAAGAGATGAAGCATTAATAGCATACAAAAGGGAAGCAGAAGGGAAACTTCAGGCAAAGGAAAATAATCCAGGAATTAAAAGACTGATGAAAGCCTTAGGATGCTTTCCAGATTGACCAGAGAAGCTTAATTCAGTAGAACAGAAATACACATTTTATGTTATATCCTCTAGGATGAATTTGGGTGAACGTGGCTGAACCTATATTTTAACACCTTAGGTACCCACAGCAATACAAATACGTGAAAACATAGCTCCTGCTTTTCCTCAGTTAGTGACAACCCTTCTGAATCGTGCTGTAATCTTGATTTACTTGGGAAATAATCTCAGCTGCATCTCGCACAATGAAAGTGCCAAGAAATAAAATGTTGGCTTCATAGATCAGTAGCTGCACCTAAAAGGTTATGCCTTGAAACAGAATATACTGCTACCTGAATAACATTGATTACAATGTGCATATATGGTTTTCCACAATTTTCAGTGGGCGAAGATTAAGAAAACCCTTGTAAATGTTTGTAAACCAATAGAAATCTTGTTAAAGATAACATTTCATCCTTGTGTGAGTTATTTAATCAACCTCAAGCTTGTAATTCTTGTCGTTAACAAGTATACTTCATGAGTTATGGATCAGGTCATTGGCCCATCATATGTGCAAACAGCCTCCAGAAGCGTTCACATATGTTGCTTTAGGAAAAAAAGAGCCTGTTCCCAATGCTCCCAAACTATGATTCATCAGGCATTGCTAGGATTGCTGGTTAGCCTTCAGATGCATTAGTTTGTGCTCTCAAACAAGAGGGGTATATAATTCAGTGTATGTACCTACTCATATAGATGGCAATAGTTAATTCTACTTTGTTTCTCAACCTGCTGCAGAAAACATCTGTAATTGTAAAGTGCCACTTATCTCTGAGAAATACAAAGCAAATTACAAGAACTAACACACACACACACATACACAAAGCAAAAAGAAAAGTTGTTACTGGCAAGTTAAATCAAAGGTCTGTCTAGCTCAGCATTCTGTCTCCAACACAGGATACTGGCAGCTGTTGAAGGAAGCGTGGAAGATTGGGGAGTATGTAGAATCCTCTCCAAGCCTCCCATAAATTCAAGTATTTTCTCAGTGCTGTTTTTATATGATACCTTTGGGTGGGTTTTTATATTTCTATAGATTTGTTGCTTTTAAATCTATAGTTCAAAATCCAAATCCCTTTCCTGGCATGGAGTTTCCATAGGTTAATGGAAGGCTGGGTGAAAAAACATTTCCATTTGTTTGCACTGAATCAGCCACAGTTATTTAGTTTGATCTCCATTAAATCTTATATGAGAAATACCAGGGAAGGACTGTTTATCTTCTTCATGTCATCCACGATTTCATAGACCTTATGGTTTCCTTGTCAAAATAAGAAACACGGAGTTATCTCAAGTTTTCTCATAAAGTAAAAAAAGGTTCTTTCCTTCTGCATCTGCGTAGCAGTGTGACATTATGCGTACATTCTATATAGTACATAAAAAGCTAAGTAAGCAGTAAAATACCTTTCCTTTTAAGTGTTTGAAGTACCATACACTGAATGACCTTTTCATTCTCCATTCACAAAGAAATACGAAATAACTATTCTTATTTCTGAAACCTGTGATTATACCAATAGCTATAACTCAGGCCCATGAAGTCCTTTAATATAAAGAGCCATGCTGGAGACTCATTCCCTTAAAGAAAAGAGCCCAGGATGATTGACCTGAAATGACCTCTTCATTTTTTAGTGAAAGGAGATCTAAATATGGCAAACATTTTCTTGTGCTACTGTCTCTTAAGAGACTACATTTTCCCTCATAAGAATCTAGTATGAGAAATATTAAAAAAAAAAAAAAAAAAAAGTTAATCAGCTTTACAGGAAAGCTAGCAAAATGTCTACCAGAGCTATCTGTTCAGAAAATCTATTTTATTCTGTTTGTTATTTCCACTGCTTGGATCACTTACAACATTGATCGTATTTTCTGTTTCAGGGTCTTTAAGCATGCATTTATCTTGTTGACCTAAGGAATTAAAGAATCACAAATCTGCCACCATAAAAATGGTGTTAAAATTACTAAAATTAGCTGTTATTTTTAAAGAAACACAAATCCTATTTTTTCTTTCAGTTTACCCTATTTTCTCTTTTTTGAGAGAAAACTAATCCAAGCATCCAAACTGATGTCAGAGGATGATTATTAAAAATTGTTCTTTTCTTTAGCTTTCATTTTGGAACGTTGAAAAAGTCTGTGCTCCTTCTCACATCGTTCGATACCTGTAGCTAGTGATAAAGCTCAGGTAAAAGAATTACTGATCGAGCTGGCCAGTATATTTCTTTGAAAGCAGAGTATAGATTAAAAAAACACAATTCAACCTGAAGCCTAACTGAAGAACTACAGAAACCGTGAAGCACTGAGCTTTCAGAAGAACTTCTGCTTTGGAGATCATGTGGTGCTTCAGTTTGTAGTTTTAAATTGTTCTGGATTCTTTCCATTGCAGAAATGGCCACATATCTGTGAATGATCAGAACAAGGCATCTTCTGTTAGTGACTGCAGACCAGTATTCATGTACTGATCTCTGGGTTTCTCGGCTACTATTCCTGAAATGCAAGAATTAAGCATACTTAGGCTTCTCAGAAAAGGTTCTTGTCAGTACCTGTCATCATTCTGTTACTTATGATATCCAACTCTGATTGAATTAACAACAAACTTCAGGCTCTATAATTTGTCGGACTTCTCCTGTGGAGTGGTAGAAGGTGTCTTTCATGACAGCTAGATTTAACAACTATGATATTCACTATCTGAATGCTGAAAGTGATTGTGGGCCTTGAACTTTCAAAACTACATGAAAAAAAAAAAACATCTTTTGTTTGCTTTTTCTTTGACTGATTTGTTATCCTAAGAGGTCTAAACTTCTGTTGTTCTAAAAATCTAGAGACTTGACTCATAGGTGATGAGTCTGTCAAAGCATTAGAATAATAGAGAAATAGCCAAATCAGCACAAAGGGTTGTGCTTAGAAACATATGGAAGAAAGGATCTATAAAGTATAATGTTTCAAACTTGGCTATGTGTATTATTTAAAACATGGTTTTATGTTTTGTTGCATACAAATAAAAAAAATCGTGGTATGCAGTATTG